CTGGGTTTTGGTGCCTTCGTGTGCAAGGGGGCCACTGTGCCCAGAGTGTGACCGAGCAGGCCAGGGAAGAAAGCCCAGTGCTGTGCAGCCGGCGGGGTTTCTCTCTCTGCCGCCCCCGCCTCCGCCCCCACCGGTTTGGCATTGCCAGCGCCCACCCTCCCCTGGCTTGCTCTGCTCTGGCTCAGAAGCCCTGGGCCCCCGTGCTGTCCAGGGCTCTCTCCCCTAGCTAGCCCTGGGGCGGGGGAGTGACCATCAAGGCAGGGCAGCCCCCGGACGAGGCTGCCGGAGAGCATAAACGAGGCTGAACGAGGCCAAAGGCTGATGACCCCTGTCTCTGGCAGAAAACAGGATGGCAGAGGCGGTGGCGGCAAAACAAACGGAACTGGCAGCAGCTGGCATCATCTGGGTTCATATCCTTCTGTGGACGACAAAGGTGGGAGAAGATGGGCCCCCATCCTTCCTGGAGCAAGTGGGAGCCCACCTGGCAGCTGAGGGGGCTGCATCAAGACCCCCTCCTCTTCTCCAGCTGAATCTGTCCAGCATCCAAACTGGGCAAGCGGGCGGGGGGGTGAGAGGCCCGGAGGTTTGCTGCCGCCTCCCAGAGCGCTCCGTGTCCTCCAGGGCCATCTTTCTCCGCTCTGGCCTTTCTTCCCTCCCCGTATGGTAGAAGCCCCCCTGCCCCAATACAGGATTCCTCCAAGGGGAAGCAGGAGGGCAGGAGGACAAGAGGGGTGTGTGTGTGTGTGTGTGCGTGGGGAACATGCTTACCACCACCAAGAGCTTCCCCCCTCCCCCCCCTCGTGGTGAGAAACCCTGCTTCCCCCTCCCACGCACCGCCCCACTGCCATGGTGAGGGCAATTGAGACATGGGGCCGGCCCGAGCATCCGGCCAGCCTGTGGGGTGAGTGCATGGGTGGGGCGAGGCCTCAGGGCCTGGGGCTCTCCTGACGGGGCTGCTCCTCCTCCTCCTTCCAGAGCCAAAGCAGCGCTGTTCAGAGGAGGGTTTTGACGCCATCACCATGGACGAGGCTGGGGTCATGCTCTTCTTCAAAGGTAGCCGGAGGGCAGGGCTGGGCTGGGCTTCTTCGCCTTGGCCTTGGTGGGAACAGCCTGTTCAGGGGCTCTTCAGAGGAGGAGGTAGATGTGTCTGGGGAGGTTGAACTGTGGGGCTGGGTTGGTTTGAGGGGCTGCTCTAGGGAGAACGGGGAGGGGGGGCTCCCTCTGACGGGATTAGGGCATGGGGCTCCAGCTGCAAGGGGCGCCTGTGTCACTGGGCCACGCGTGGCTCCCTCAATATGCAGAGGGTTGGTCCACACGGATTCCACCTCAAGGGCCCCTGGTCGGCCAGCCAACCGGTCAGCCAGGGAGGGTCCCCAGCCGTGCTTCTCCCCACTTCTCTCCTCCCGGTGGGTGTTTCTCCGTTCCCCAGGAGATCTGGTCTGGAAAGGGTTCGCCGGGGCAGCTGAGCTGAAAAATGCTTCTTGGCCGGAGATCCAGGGCCCTGTTGATGCCGCCCTTCGCATTCACCACCCGGACCGCCCCAGCATCCATGACAACGTCTACCTTTTCCAGGTATATGGGATGTGGACAGAGCTGACCTGCCTCCCATCAGGGCCTTCCTGAGTCTTCCTTGGAGGGGGGGGGAGAGAGACTTCTATTGGAGGAGTGCCCCCACCCCACCCCCAGGTGCCACTCCCAAGGCCACTGGTGTCTGAGAGCCTGGGCTGGGTCTTGGTGTCAGCAGGTGGGATCCCCTGAGGAGCTGCCCACCCCCACCTCAGAGTGAAATGGGAAGAGAGGNCCCCCCCCCGGTATGGGCTGGCGTGTTCGTGTGAGGGCTAGAGGCAGACACGCTTCCTGAGTCACAGGGTCAGGCTGCCAAAGGGAGAAAGGAGGCCAGTGGGGGAGTCCCTGCAGGGTATGGTGTGTGTGTGTGTGTTGCCCCCCTCCCCCCCCAAGGGTGGTCAGAAGCAGCACCTGTGCTGTTGTCCTGCAGGGCAAGCATCTCTGGGCCTATGCCCAAGGCAGACTGAAGGACGGATACCCCCGGCTTATTGAGGAGGAGTTCCCAGGGATTCCTGGGGACTTGGATGCAGCCGTGGAGTGTCACGCCCAGGAATGCTCACATGCAGCAACCGTCTTCTTCTTCAAAGGTGAGGCGGATTGGGTCCATGGCAAGTTGGGGGAGGGAGGGTCGCAATGTCATTGCTAAGACAATGGGACAGCGGAGGTGGGGGTCGTGGGTGGAGGCACCCCTGGCCTTTGGCTAGCCATCTCCAGCCAAGACCTGACCCCTGACCCCAGCGATGACCGCTTCCTCTGCAACTGAATCGCAACTTGGCCGTTGCTGCACAGCTCACAGGGGAGGGTTGCGAGATGGTCACGGCTTGCTCCTAAGCATCCTGCCAGCCAGAGTTTGTGGGGGGGGGAGGAGGGGGAGGGCTCTGGGAAATCTTATGCTGATGTGGCTGGCACACCCACCCCCCCTTCGCCTTCCGCGTCTCTCACAGGCACCGTGGTTTACTCCTACGATCTGACGACCAAGGAGCTCAAACAGCGCTCGTGGCCCTCTGTCGCCAACTGCTCGGCTGCTGTGCGCTGGCTGGGGCGTTACTACTGCTTCCAGGGCATCCAGTTCTTGCGCTTTGACCCGGTCACAGGCCAAGTGGGGGCCAACTACCCAAGAGACGCCAGGGACTACTTCATGCGCTGCCCTGGGAGGGGTAAGGCCCTCCCCCACCTGAACTGGGGAGGTCAAGGGGGCCTAGACTTGCCATCCGGAGCCGTCCGGAGAGGGATCAAAGAGGCTGCGCCCCCCCCGCCCGTGCCCGCCTGGGTCAAAGTCAGGGCTGCGACACCTACGGATGGAAGTCCCTCTCACCTCTGCGGGTTGGATCAGACACACATCCGTACCTGGCTGGAGCACCCCCCTGCCCTCACCCTCAGACCTTTTGGGGTTCAGGAGGGGAAGGCTGTGGGTCTGACCCTCTCCCCCACCCCAGGTTCCTGTTTGAGGGGGCAGCCCTTGCCATTTACTTAGACAGACATTGTCAGGCGGGCAGGAGGGTGGGCGGGCGGGGCGGGCGGGTCTGGAAGAGGACTTGGTCTGGACTCCTTCTCTCTCCCCTTTCCCCCTGAAGGGCACGGGCACCACACCCAGGGCAACGCGACTGCCAGGGCGATTCAAGACCGTTGCAGCGGGCGCCCCTTCCAAGCCTTCTTCTCGGATGACACCGGCCGGATCTATGCCTTCCGTGGTAACAATGGGGACGTGCAGGACCTGCCTTATGGGCAGGGGGTGGGGGTGGGGCTGTGCACATCCTGGGCCTGTTCCAGGGCAGATGCCAAGAGACCCAGGCAGAGAGAGCCGGGCAGGGCTGCAGCAGCTGCCGATCTCAGGAGGGGGCCGAGGGGGGGGCAAGGAGATCTGGGCGTATGGCTGATTTCTGAAAACTAGAAGCCAAGTGGCACCTGGGCAGGCGTGTAGTGGGGGGGCGAGGGAGAGAATGGCTCCCCCGCCCTTGTAGCTGGACACGCTTGCGGTAGGCGGTGACCCCACTGCCTCTTTGCCCCCCTTAACCCCTTCCTCCACACAGAGGGGCATTACTTCCAGTTGGACTCCCACCGGGATGGGTGGCACGCCTGGCCGCTCAAGCACCTGTGGAAGGATCTGGAAGGGGACGTTGACGCTGCTTTCAGCTGGGACAACAAGCTCTACCTGGTGCAGGTGCGGTGCTGGCAGGGGCAGGTGGAGGGCAGGGGCATGGGGGAAGGGGGCACAGGCGCCAGAGATGCTCAGCAGGGTGGGAACGGGAGGACCCTGCCTTTACCCCCCACCCCTTTGCAGAAGAAGCCAGCCAGCCGCCAGCCCGCCCACTCACCCACCCTCCTTCTCTCCCTTCTGCCTGTCCGCGGCGCACCAGGGCTCTCAAGTGACCATCTACCAAACTGGCCGGGGCTACATCCGAGTGGACGGCTACCCTCGGCCCTTGCAAGCAGAGTTGGGAGTCGCAGAAGCTGACGCCGCCTTCACCTGCCCTCGCTCCCAGGCCCTCTACGTCATCCACGGTACTAGGGGAGGGGCTGTTGCAGAGGGAGGGGGGGCCAGGGCCCGGAGGCCACCTCGGATCCAACCTGCAGCCTTTTGAACACCAGGAAGGCTGGGTTGATTTCCTAGATGGGGGGAGCAGCAGGGTGGCAAGAGGGAGCTGAAGGATTGGAGGCCCTGCCCAGACAAATGGGGGCTCATGCGGGCGGGAGCACGCTGGACTGGGTGTGTGTGTGTGTGTGTGTGTGTGTGACACACACACCAGGCTTCTTCCTCCACCCTCTCTTGTCCTGCTTGGGCTCCAAGGGAGGGGAGGACTGAGTTCTGCTGGCCAGGTGGGCAGGATGTAGTCCCACCTCCTGCCACAGGTAGCGCCGTGCATCTGACCCGATTCCCTCTCCCTCCTCCCCTTCCAGGAAACCACCTTAGGCGCGTGGACCTGGAGCTGAGCCCTGGTCACCCAGGACCCCTGCAGCCCATCCCCCACGCTCATGTGGATGGTGCTCTGTGTACTTCCAAGGGGGTCTTCCTTTTCCACGGATCTGACTTCCACCATTACGCTGATGTAGACCAGCTCATTAAGGCCACGGCCCCTGCCCCCGCCAAGAGCATTGTGGTGGACTTTTTCCACTGCCCTCCTCCGCATGCAGTGGGGCAGGGTGCTCCCTCTCTACACCACCCTCAGTGAGAACACCAGTTCCCCCAAATGGCTGGGGGCTATGATGTCTTCCCCTAGTGCCACCTTGGCACAGCCTGGCACAGCCAATAAATCCATGCCCATGCTCCACAGCTGTGTGCCTGGGCCTCTGCTTTCTGAAGTGGGTTTGGGGTCTGGGGGCTTATAGACAAGAAAAGGAGGTGGGTTCCCTCTGAACGAAGCAGGGTCCCGACTCCTCAGACTGGAAGCAGCAACAAACAAGGCGAGGGCATCAAAGGCTTCTCCAAATTGTACCTCCATTCATTGGTTTCTGGGTTCAGATGCACAGATCCCTGGGAACTGGTGTTCAGCAGCCACAGCCTAGAATTCTGGGCTGAGTGAAGCATCATTGCCAGTTACCATCCCTCTCCCCCTCCTTCTCCCTGCTCTCATTCCAGCTGGACAATCTGGGGCCAACAGCCCTCCTGTCTCACCTCGGGGAGGCTGGCACTGAACCCGGAGTGACTCTACAGCAGAGTTTCCCAGCCTGTGGGGCGCAACCCCCAAGGGTTTCCTGTGGGGTCCCTGAGCCCCGCCATCGCAACCCTTTTCCGAGAAAGACAACCCCTGCAGAAGGCCATGGGAAACCTTGTCTAGCTGGGGGGGGGGGGGCTGGACGGAGCAGGAGGCCAGAAGGAGAGCTTTGGAGACGGCAGCAGCTTCAGAGGAGCGCAGAAGGCCGAGCGCCTTTGCCAAGGGGAAGGAGGAAGCCGGCGCAGTGCTCCGACTGGAAATGCAGTTCTAGGGAGGGCAGACGGGTGTGGGTGGGGCAGGGGGACGCTGCATGTTCGTAGGTGAGGCACAGAAGGCACATCTCGTGGGCAGGGCACGTTGAGGGCGGCACACTTTTGGGACCCTTGCTAGGTACATTGTTTGGACGGTGCCCGGCAGGAGCTGAAACTGGCTGCTGCTTCTCCGGCCCACTTCTCTTGCTTGCGTGGTTCTCCCCCCACTTTGAAACATCCCCTCTTCCCGGCCTTTGTGCCCAAAGCACCCCACAGGGCTGCCCTTGATGGGCCTGCTCAGAAGCAAGCTCCACTCGGTTCAATGGCTCTTCCAGTGTGTCCGATGCCCGAAGCCGCCATCACCACCGGCAACACACTTGTCTGGAAGGTGCAGTGGAGAAATGTGTGTGTGTGTGTGTGTGTGGGGGGGTTGGACTTCCTCCCTGGAGCCTGAACTGTTTCTACCCAATAAAAAAAATTCACTCCTGCCTATCTTGTTTTCAGGGGCAGCCAGGTTATAGACAAGAAACCAGGCACAAATATTGGTTTGGAATTATATTTTAAATGTGAGGAGGGGCCCTGCAGTTGACTTGGCTGTTATTCGAAGAGGGTCGCCACTCGAAAAAGGTCGGGAAAGGCCGCTCTGCAGGAGGGGGGCGATTGGGGTCAGCCAAGCAGCCTCGGCTTGGGGCGCCCCTCGTTTCTCTCGCTTCTGGAGGGCGGGCTCAGCCAAAAAGGCAGGCGGTGCCCGATGCCAGGCGGTGGCGGTCCTCGTGCATCAGGCGTTGACTTGGCTGTTATTCGAAGAGGGTCGCCACTCGAAAAAGGTCGGGAAAGGCCGCTCTGCAGGAGGGGGGCGATTGGGGTCAGCCAAGCAGCCTCGGCTTGGGGCGCCCCTCGTTTCTCTCGCTTCTGGAGGGCGGGCTCAGCCAAAAAGGCAGGCGGTGCCCGATGCCAGGCGGTGGCGGTCCTCGTGCATCAGGCTGGCGGCGGCGGCGGCGGCGGGGAAGCCGCTCTTCGGGGCCCTGCTTCATTTCCCTTTCGTTGCCATGAATAACAGACAACCCTTGCACCGGCGGCCCCGATGTACGAAGGTAAGGGCAGCAGCAGCTTTCTGGGTCTTTTTGTTTCTCTTCCTGCTTTAAGACCTCTCTCTCTTTTTCTCTCTCTGGCTTTCTCTCCGGGTGGGGGAGAAAGGCAGCCAAAGAAGGGGAGAGAAAAATTATGAACGCCCCCCCCCCCCGACTTTCGGGA